ATTTCAGTAGTTGATTCTCATACTAAAAGCCAATTTTTAAACCAATTTGGGAATCGTTCTAAAATGGGTAAACGAAATTGAATACACCAGCTATGAGTATTATTTGGGTTTTGATAATAAAATATAGTTTATGCCAGGCTTCTATGTACTCGGCATATTTATAATATTTATACGAAAACTCAGTATGAGAATCAACTACTGAAATTTTACCTCCTGCTTTTCAAAAAGTGCAGGAACAAATTTGTTTTCTTCAATAATAGTGATATCAATACAGACAATCACCTTTACATTGTTGTACTATACCAACTCCCATGGATTATGAAGTGGGAATATTCAATATCTGTTAATAATACATCCGATCATACCTATATTCCTCGCCTTGGAAAAACCATTTCAGTCAAATGGTGGGATATCTTCAATATGGATCCCACAACCATAGTGCCCACACGAATACCTCCACAAAAACCTATATATAATCCCAGTCCAAGTGGATATAATACTGCCAATATCTCTTTTGATTTCCCCACATACTTGAGAAATATGTTGCAAACAAACCCTAATGCCTCCAAAGAAACCCTAGAACAACAAATGAGGGAGATTTTTGCAGAAGCAAGAAGAAAGCCGGTCTCATCAGATGAGACCGTACAGTCCTCACCAACTCGTACCAATAGATATTTTCCCCTTGAAGAAACTGAAAGAAGAAGATGATCCTGATGAATGCAGCCAAAGACCATGATCCGTTGCTGCCAAGATTGTGACCCGTTACAATACTCACTCACATATGACAAAAAATACTGTTCCAGGATGCCATTACTATTCCCACTAACAGACAAGACAAGAGAAGTTACTATTTCCAGATACTGTTACTGTTCCCACCGACATAAACGACAAGCCACCGACACTGTAGCTACAAGAAAAGACAAAAGTTGCCGACACGTGACGACAAAAGGACCACTATTCCCAGATACCCTTTTGTCCTTACCTCCGACCAAAGGAATTTTCCTTTTTTCTTTTTTCTTTTGCTTTTGTCTCATCATCCTACTTTAAGTCCCTTCTTGCTTTATGTCGCTTTACTTTAGCAACGAAGGCATCTCTTCTTTGCCTATAAAAGGCAGCCTCCTGCTTCATAACCAACAAGGTCGCTCGGAGCTTCTCTCTTCCCTAGCTGCTCTACTCTTTGATTTTCTCTCTGATTCTCAGATAAAGTTCTCATCTCATCTCTCTCTAACTCTATCTAAGTCTTGCTCCTTCCTCACTACTCCTCTTCAAGCTCCATCTCTTACCACCACAGTTGCTGTTCCGACCTTACAACCCATGTCTTTCAGGTCTCTGTTTCAACTCTTACTTTATTAAGACCCAAGTTCTATCTTCTCCAGGTTCTATCTTCTCCATTTTGTTTATTTCTAATATGTGCGATTGCAATCTTTCTTCACTTCCCTCACACTGTCCTCAACACTGGAAACTCTTTTTCCAGTTATTGTATTTGCACATTATAAGTGTGTGTTTACTTTCTGTACACAGTTTGTAATAATACGTTTGTTTTGATATGATTGTATAAAGTCTGTAACAGTACTTTTACATTTGCTTTAATACATGTCTGTATAAATGTCTGTTGTATACAGTCCAAGTTATTAATACAGTCTTGATGGTTTGATTATTATGCAATTTAAACTTGTGTTTAGCATAAAGATAAGAAATCATAGCGACACACAGTGGTTAGTAATAGATATATCGGTCATACCCTTCATCTGCATACTCCTATTCTGCTCGAACTATTATGGTGTTGCTTTTGAGCCTCTTCGTTAATTTCTTTATTGAGATTTTCAATTACTGTAGGTACCTTATTTTCTTTGGGTGTCTTTTATTCCTTTTGTCTTTCAATTCTATGGTTATCTCGTTCTCTTCTTGCATTTTCTTTCTGATGTTCTCTTGGTGATTGCCTGCAGTGTAATTGGTGATCAGGGACTTCATCAGTTTTTTAGTAATCACTTTCTCGGATTTCATTACAATCTTCTTCTAGGAGATGTTTTATGAAGTAGTTGCTGCTAAGGTTTTCTGATTCGTGTTATCTTGAAACTGAAAGTTTTTGTTCAAAATCATTTGTTGTAATCTTGATAAGAAACAGCTATTGAGGCTTTGTTTTTGGACATGTTCAATTTCATTGGTCTATAAGCATGAAGAGTAATTTCTGTATTTGTCTTTCTGGATTAGGCCCTGCTACAACTGCATGTCTATTGTTGCTTTTGGTGGTTGTTTACTGCATTGTGGCTAAGTGGCTTGATCCTTTCAATTTCTGTCAACTTGTTGGCATCAAACATGATTTTTTTTTTGACTTTATTTCTTCTACATTTCAGCATGTCCATCCATGCCTTTTATGGTTGGAAGCTGTCATGGTCTAATCCTCCTCTTTTTCTGGTTTGTTTGTTTTGGTTGGGAAGATGGGGTTTTTATTTTTATCTCTCTCTCTCTGCAGTTTGTTTGCATTGGTTGGGAAGATAGTTTGTTGAATTGCTAGGGAGACTGCGCAGTTCTCTTGTTTGGAAAGGCTCCTTTCAATTTGAATAGTGTATTTGATACTGCAATCTGTATGTACTTCACTTTACATACCTATTGAATAGAGTTACCTCTTCTCAAAAAACGATCTCTATTGGTTTGTCTGCATTGGCTGGGAAGATCAAACGTTTATTTTGATACGTCTCTTCCCCTTTCTATGAATTGTTTGCATTAATTGGGAAGATGTGTTTCAGTTTTTATTTCTCTCTTACTCGTTGGTTTTTTGCATTCACTTTGAAGATGAGTTTTCTTTTTGATGTCTTTGGATTCATTATCAGGAAAAATTATCACTTAAATCATTTTGTGGTTCAGGATTTGGTCACACGTGTTGAAAGGCAGCCAAACTATACAAACCACAAACTGATTCAAGTGCAGTTTGTGAAAATCCAGTAGATGGCCATCTGTATTTTGAAAAGACAGATTCATTTTTATATTGCAGCTAAACAAGGGGTTAACTTTGAGCATTATTCAATGATTCCCATGGAGATTACAGGCCACTTGTACCAAATTTTTATTTTTCTTTCTTCTCTATTTGTAGTTTTATTTTCTTCTTGTGACTCATCTTTCATCCTACTATTATTTTCTATATTACTTGTTGTCAACATACTGTGTTACATTATAGGAGGTGAGGTAGCAGATGACAATGTTCCACCTTGGAGCAAAGATTGTTCTGTTTTTATGAGGGTTAAGAAGTTACATATCAATTCTGCAATATTGGCTGTTAAAAGCCCTTACTTTTACAAGGTAAGATAGGATTATGCTTTGAGCTGTTTGTTACTATTACTTGTATCTATGAATGAAATCACCAATATGACACTTGTTTTGGAAGCTTTTCTCAAATGGAATGCATGAATCAGAGCTGAGAGATGTGAAGCTACAAATCAGTGCTTCAGGTAAGTTCTTTCAAATAGAAAAGTTATCAAGGAAAGAATGATCAAATCACCTTTCCCTTGTAAAATGGGAAAGGCAACTACAGTTTTCATGCATGCAATATTTCTGTATTTTGACTCCGAATGTTGTTTATTCAAATCTTGTTTTCTGTTTAGGTTGTGATCGTTACATATTCTGTTGTCAACCATACTCTAACATCTGTTTGGTATATTACTGAAGAGATGTCTGGTTTATAAATAAAGAGAGTTCATGCATTTATTTACTTATTCTTTGTAAAGGGAATTAGAAATAATATAAATTTCAATTTTACTAGGCAAGGACCGGCAAGGTTTTGGACAAGCAATCAATTGCCCAAAAATAAATAAATTAATAAATAAATAAAATATTTCTATGTTTGGGTTAAATTTGGGGATATGTCCATTGTGCCCGGTGGTGTAATTTATGTTGTTCTGAGTGTTCCTGATGGTTTAATGTAAACAAAAGACAATGTAGTATGCACTACGAAAGCAATATTTCTATAGAGGAAGAGACAATAACAATTCTGAATGGATTAAAGTGAATGTTACAAGGGCAGTGGATGTATGGAAAATGACTAAAATATACTTTTATTGTCTAATAAAGATTTCGTAGACTACCCGTAAATTCTCTACAAAAGTAAATGACCAAAGTATCATAATTATTGTTTCTATAACCTTAAGATAAAATATGAAAAAATACACTGAACTTGAAATATCATATATGTTTGGCCCAGAGGAGGATGCATTCATGGAGCTATTGAAGTTTATGTACAGTGGGATTCTATCAACAACTGCTGCTCCAGCATTCTTGAGGGATTTGTTGGTTGTTGCTGATAAATTTGAGGTTGCTTCTTGTGTGCGTCACTGTATCGTGTTGCTGGGTACTCTGCCCATGACCCGAGAATGTGCTTTACAATATCTTGCGCATCCTTATATTACAATAAATGCAACTCAACCTCTTGTTGTTGCCGCAAAGCAGTACCTTGCCAAACAATATCAGGATTTATTCGAGTAAGCTCTCTCTTTCTTGGATTGCTTGCATGTTTAATTTGTCATTGCATTAGTTGAATTGTTTATTGGCTAACCATTGATTGGAATATGCATGAAAACACTTACTCTAGGATCGGGGATGTTGTACACACATTGATAAACCAAGCTTCTTAAATTCATTGCTGAGACATTTCACTTGTAAGTGTCATAGTGTCAAAGCTTTTGGGGAAGTCCTCAGGAATAAGCAAAAGATAAAAAGTAAAAAGTTTAAAAGTGATTGAATTTAAAAATTCAATTAGTTACATTGTTTATTCTCATAGGCAATCTTACACATCTAACATCCAAATGTATCTCTATTGGAGCTTTTCACCCCATATTGATTGTGAGTTTCTATGCAAAGCACAATTTTGTCATGGTGATTTGGGTTTATTCTCATAGGTAATCTTACACATCTAACATCCAAATGTATTTCTATTGGAGTTTTTCACCCATATTGATTGTGAGTTTCTATGCAATGCCCAATTTTGTCATGGTGATTTGGGCCCAAGATAATTATGTTGGTGGATTTTATATATCAATTAATGATTATCAATTTATTTTTTGGCATAGTTGTGAACAATCTACGGCTAGCCATTGGTTAATCACTTCAATTGCACAAATTAAATGATCGAACTTCGATTTGAAATTAACACCTAGCATATTCTTATTAGCTTAGGTAACCCCTAAGATAACACTAGATGAAAAAAGGTACTAAGCAAATAGTTTGATAGAACTTTTACAGGCAAAGGCTCGAAGGGAAAGATCAGTGACTATCTCCATTGGGTGTGGTTTTCATAAGGTTGCAACCTTAAACAATCCATTTAAGGTGCACCTTCAAATTTTATCATAACATGTAATTTTGATGTAAAATATCCTTAAGATTATCTCAAAATCTATTTTCAATTCTAATTATAAAATTTTAAACTCCAAAATAATTAAAATCTTGAAAATGGACGGTCTAGATAATGTGTTATAAACGTGTCAAAATCTTGAAAATGGACGGTCTAGATAATGTGTTATAAGATGCACTATTTCTAAGACTCAAAATCCTTTTTTTTTTTATAGTCATACATCTCGATGTCAATATGATCAATTAGAGGGCTTTTCAAAATTAAAAGAACCTTTACTGATGGATTTTTGAGGTGCATTCGTAGTTCTAGATTTTAAGGTTGCAACCTTATATAAACTTTTCCCATCTCCATTTTTAGGGAAATATATATAGTGGAAGGTCTGCCTGGAGCAGATTTGTATTGTCGATGTATCTTTGAACTGCTTAGTCATTGAGCCTGGCAGCTCAGATTCATGAAGTCATGTCTAATTTGTATCAGCGGGTCTGCCAGATCTAGTGGAACAGGCTTTCTATAATCCATTCTTCGATTTGCATATTTTAATGAGGAGGCAATGTGCTTGCCATATCAAGATCTATTTGGTGAATGGGTTCTGTATGGAGGGCATCTATTTCCAGCTATGCTCAACCGATTTTAAATGATAAACATAATATGAACTGCCTAATAGATGAAAAGGAGGATGCCTTGTGCCATTGGAATCAGGCTATATGAGAAAATTATGTTGAGGATAATCATTTTTGTACTTTTTTGAAGGGCCATTTTTGAATTGTTCGAGAATGCGGGATGAAAACCCTAATTTGGTGCTAAAGACATTGCTAAAAAAAAAAAGGAAAATTGGAAGGGACTTGAAGCGATCTGGAGCTCATATGGTGAATTGTCATTTATCTTGAAATAGAAATGGATATAACGCATAAAATATAAACCTGTGTATATAAGTTGATCTTCTAATTGTGTGGCATTGATTCTAACATGAATTTTCATGGATTGCAAGAATCGTGATTATCTTGATTTATCAATTAATCAAGTTCAAAATTGATGAAATGTTAATGCTGTTTCATTTATGTATTGAACGGCAGTGTAATTTTTGTTGATGCAGATCTCATGACGAGCTTATGGCCTTGCCTTTGTCTGCTGTGGAGGCAGTGCTCTCAAGCGACAAGCTGCATGTGGGAATGGAGGATGCTGTATTTGATTTTGCCCTCGAGTGGGCACATGCTAAGTACCCGAATTTTGAGGAGCGGCGTGAGATCTTGGGTTCACATATTGTCCCTGCCATATGCTTTTCCTCCATGTCAACCCACAAGCTCAGGGTGGTCCTCGAATGTGAAGACATAGATCCCAACCTTGCATCGAAATTGGTGGCAAGGGCATTTATTGTCAAGGCAGAGGAAGCTGAACTCAAGCATTGTGTGGCCGAGTGCGCATACAAGCGCCCCCCATTAAAGGTGATACAGTTGTCAGAAAACCATGCCCTGGTGTTCTTGGACCTTCGGCGAGAGGAGTGTGCTGCCCTCTTTCCAACAGGATCCATGAAATCACAGTTGTTCTACCTTAATGGCAATGCCTTCACCCTCCGTGTTCAATGCAACAATAAGGAAAACTCTTCTCAGTCCATTGGTCTTTACCTTAATATGGAGGAGGGTTTGGGCAGGGTTGTGATCCAGTACTCCTTTGCATCTGTATCGAAGCCAAGTAAGAAATTTAATGCCAATGAGATGTTGGAGGAGACCTTTGTCAAAGGGGGTACAGGTAGGTGGTTTTACGTCTTCAACACTCCATGGGCCTCATTCATCGCTGACGACAGCCCCAACTTCTTGAATGGTTTGCTGCACCTGCGTGTTGAAGTAGCCATCAGGACACAATGATTCACTATTTGAATCTCTCAATAGATTGAATCTCTCAATAGATTGAATCTATCTTGCCACAATGACATGTTTCCACTCGTTCTGTCATGCAGCAAACTAGGGCTTCTATAATTTTTTCTTGTAGTAATTTAAAAGGGGCATCACCCCATGCAAGACGGTTCATACATGAAGCAACCAAATACTAGACACTGTACTACAAGATAGTCAGATGGAAAATTTTTAGAGCATTCAACTTCTACTTTAACTAATGCACGCGAATTATTATTTTTGACAATATGTGAAATTTTATTAAAATGGAGTGCGGTTACAAAATAGTACTTACATCATCGCAAACAACTAGAGCATCCAGCAACACCCCTCTCTTTGCCAAAGAATCAGCTAACTCATTTCCTTCCCTCAAAATATGTTGAAAACACAACCCTATAGTGGTAGCCAGGTCAATATTTTGAACCCATATCTGATGAAGTTGCCTCAGCGCCCTCTGATCTTGCTTACACCATTCAAAAGTCTCCCTCAACCACACAAGGTTGATCTCTCAGTCTATCATTAAAAAGCTTTAAACCTTGCAGTAGTTCTGCCATCTCAGCCAATGAACTTTGTTCAAGGAAGCTTGCAAATAAATTTTAGAAACTTTGTTTACATTTGTTCCAATAAACTTTGAATTTCCCAAACTTTGACCTTACATATAAATCAGTGTCTGTTTCAGGAATCGGTTGGGGTGACTCGGACTCAGCTGAGTACTATGTACCGATTTTCTACATATATTTGTATCCACAACTTTATTCATACAGTGTCTACGTGACTTTTTGGCTCTTATGTCCTCCCTGGTATAATCTTTGTTTTTTTATTAAAAAATAGACCTTTTTATTTTATTAAAAATAAAAAATAAATCATGTTTTATTTATCAAAAAATAACATGGTTTAATTAAATAATTGAAGGGGTTCTTTTTTTATTAAAAAAATCACTATTATGATTTAATTAAACAATTAAAAGGTGTTCATTGTTTTTATTAAAAAATACGATCACATTTTTATTAAAAAATTAAACTGTCACAAAGGGCCGCTCAGGGACAGGAATTGTGGCCCCCTTTTTATTTTATTAAAAATAAAAAATAAATCCTGTTTTATTTTTACTAAAAAATAGCCGTTCAATGGTTTAATTAAATAATTAAATGGGTTATATTACGATTTAATTAAACAATTAAAAGGTGGTCCTTGTTTTTATTATAAAATACGCTCTCTTTTTTTATTGAAAAATTATACCCTCACAAAGGGTCGTGCTTGTAGCAACGTTATATAAACTTTTTGCCTTTCAATATCATCAATTGTTTATTTGTAAAGTGAGACTGAGTTGGTAGTCGCTCTTTTTTTAGTGAATTCTCTAGTACTCCAAAGAGAGTTTTATATTTATGACACTTCTTCCTAATTATGTGAAATTCATTAATTATTTATTTTTGTGTCGAAGTATAGAATATGTTTTTTTAGAGAAAATATATAACGAAAATAATATATATATATA